GAATACAAAGGAACTTGAATGCTTACTTAATTTAGAAAGGAAAAGAAAACAGCCCACTAGGAAAACCCTTTTAACCCATAGGTTAACTGATGCCTTTCTTTGGTAGTTGGCTTGTCCTTCTCCCTGTCCCACATCTGAAAGCAGGGTGGCGTTTCTCACTTTATTTGTGATTACTTCATTGTGGAATACTTAAGGCAGACTTTGCCCATCACTCTTTATTATGGTGAAGGGGAAGGGTACTCACACTCAACTCCCCTCCTAGGATTGCTGAGGAAACTGAATAAATTAACCCAGTTCCAGTGCTATGAGTAGTGCCTGTCACCTGGTGAGTTCTCAGGAAACCCACCTGCTGCCACCACTAACCAGGGGATGAGCTCAGCTCAGATCGCGAATCCCCCTTTTTTCCCTGTCATGACGGAAACAGTGGAAAGCCTCTGCATGTGTCTCAACATGAAGTTGTATAGGGGTCCTTCTCCTTCAGAATTTTTTAGAACCATTAGTTAATTATTTAGGAAAATAGAAAGTTAACAGCCACACTTCACGGGCTTGATGTCATGATTATTTCTCAGTGGTTCCAGATGGGATTTTTTAAAAAATGGAGTATAAAGCCGTGTATCCCATTTCTTAAAGTTCAGAAAATCTAGGAGAATATTTATTGGAAGTCAGAAAGCAGAGCCCTTAAGACAGTGGGAGAAATCAAAATCAAAGGTACATATTCCAACACAATTTAGGATTTCTTTAAAATCAGTTCAGTGTTAAGGGTGACCACTTTGGGCAGAGGGCTCATTGTCTTGCTGACATTTAGCTGTGTGTATGGTAATGAAGGGCTGACGCAAAGACTGATCAGTGAGCACTCACCGAGCAGTGACATAAGAAATGAGAGACGCAAAATGACATGAACATGTTCAATCAACTACCATCTGTAATAACAGTGATGTGTGGCATTCCCCTGGCCACAGCACTGCAGGATCTAAAGAGCCACGAGAAGCTGTTGTGGGCGGATGGTTAGATAAGCAACAGGTCTTGTTATTGGCCCATTGGAAGAATCCTGGGCAGGAAGAGTCTCACTTCCTGCGGCGTAGCCTCAGGAAATCACGGGTGATGCTTACAGCTGGACCAGGGCTGTGGACTAGCTGTTTCAGATACCAAGCAGCTCTCTTTATAGTCTCCCCTACATAGTGAATGTCTTTAAGTAGAGCTGTAGGGTTAGATGATAAATTGGCAGGTGGCTGGGAATTGTCACTACTGTGAAGTATTAGATAACACAGCTGCGTCCTCCTCTGATGTCACTTTTCTATTGTAATAAAACCCGTGTTCCTTTCAAAGGATTTCTAGCAGCTGTGGATAAACTTCCCTGGAAACAAACCTGTCCATAAAAATGTTGAGCCTGTTATAAATTACGAAAATATGAACTATAAGGGAAATACATTTCATGTGCAACTGTTCCCTTACGTGAATTCCTTGATAGAGTTCCTGTCCCTCTGTTCCCGAAGCCTCCTGGCTGAGCACCGATTGCTACGGCCAGCTTACCAGATGCCGTGTTTACAAATGCTCATCTGAGAAGACCCCCTGCTTCCTTTCAGTTCAGCATCACGACATTTAGGCTCACTTTAATAAGGGAACCCAGAAAAGTCCAAAGTCAGGAAGTTCTTAAACAACCCCCTTTCCTCGATATAAGTCTCAGAAACTCAGCCACGGGGCACTGACAAGCGGGCGCTCATTTACAGCTGGAGGTGGGAAATCACAAGCTGTGAAAGGACAGATTCTAGGAAAGTAAATTAGAGTGTGAGTGTGTTTGTGTGTGTTGGTTTCAGTGTTTGGGTGTGTGTACATGTCTGAGTGTGTGTTGGTTTCAGTGTTTGGGTGTGTGTACGTGTCTGAGTGTGTGTTGGTTTGGTTTTGGGTTTTTCTTGAAAAAAGATTACAATAACAAAGTTAGGTTTTATAGCTTGTTAACTCTTGGTTCAGAGCTGAGAATTTTTCTTCCTGTTTTCTTTGCATGCATATGTTAACAAAAATATGTGTGAGAATGTATATGCATATGAGTATATATACATAAAGTGTGCAAATAATACATATACCTTTATGATGTGGAGAAGTAAGTAAAAAAAATTCTAAGACTGGAGGGAAGGATGGTCTTAAAAATTAAGTTTGGCAACAAAAATTACATGAATTCCTAGAAAAGAATGTAAAAAAAAAAACAGTTACTGCATACTAAGCCTTTCTATTGCGTTCCTTTTAAATGGGCAGTCAATACGGCATTTAAAATAATTGTTTGTTTATAAATTGTAGCCCTGGAGACAGGGAACCCAAGGCCTCATGAAAGCTGCATGCTATACTACACAGTGACACCCCAGCCCCAATTCACATATTTAAATCTGGCTTTCATTTTACTATTTTTCCTTTTTTACAAGAGCCCATTTAAAACTGATTAATGAGCCTCCAGATGTAGTGTTCTCCTTTTTGAGAGAGACTGTGCTATGGGAATCCACATGCTTGCCCTAAAGGCTCAGTCAGATAGTGGGAGACACAGTACAGCGTGGATCTACAAGAGACTTGCACAAGTCTTTGCTGTGGGCCAAGACTGACTAGCCTCTCCTTTACCTGGGAGGAAGATGCTGCTGTTATCCATGCTTTTAACTACAGAAAAGGAGCCTTACAGAGAATACTAGAATTGCATAGATTCATGGCTTGTATGGCAGGGGGGTACTTCCAGTCTGTGTCCCTCACTCCCCCCCCCCCCCCAGCCTTTATGGATCTCCTTCTCTCTAGAACTCAGTGGATACCTGTTCTCTGGAAGAACTCTGTAGCCGCATGACCAATTTTCTCCCTGTGTTTTGTAAATGGAGTTTCTTGGGCAAGGTTGTTCTAGGACATGGCTTGTGAAAAGCTGAGGGTGGGGATGAATTCCAGGGTAACAGTCACCAGCCTGTGGCCTCTGCTGTCCCACTAGCTCAAAGTCCTGTGCTGTACAGAGTCCTGTCCAACTTCAGGTCTGGTGTAAAGTCTCCTCACACCCTGCTTCCTTGGTTGAAATTTACAATTTGAACCATAGCGTGAGTGGGCTTGTAGTTGCTGCAGCTTTCTTTTAAAAGTAAATCTAGTGAATTCTTAAATACCTGTTCTATGTGAAACCCTGCAGAGCAGGTACCGCCACCCATCCCATGGAGCACATCCTTATCTTTTTCATAGTCTTACTTTAGAATCTCGTTGCCTTCTCCCCTCCTTCCCCTCCCCTGCTCTCACCTTCCTGTTTATAGTGGGAGTATAAGAGCACCCATGAGTTGTAAAGACCCCACTAGCTAAGTGGTTTCTCAGAAGTCAGGGTTTAGCTACAGTTTTCTCATTGGAATTTTCTCCAGTTTCAGCCATTACTCAAAATCTAGAGTGATGACTTCCATACCAGAAAGAATCCTGAAGGGATTGCGATTGTAGGACCTGCAGTTGGAACTCTGAAACACCACCATCTCATGTCATCCTGTCAGAATAATCAATCACAAATCTTGTCACTGGTGACAGAGTTGGGAGCACAGATAAGCAGACTCTGCCAGCTTAGGCAGAGACTGTTCTGAGATCACTGCTCAACATGCGATTTCCCTGGGGCATGCTGTTTGGAAGGTGGGGCTGGGGAACGGACCCTTGGATGACCAGGTTTTTGGCATTTCCTCAGTGTCCTGTGAAGAGAGGAGCATACACATACAGCTTTTCCCTTAAGCCCTTCACAGATTGCTGCATTCTCTCCTGTTTGACTTTAGGATTCTCCCCTGCTGGGACCAGGGCAGCATGCTGGCCTCTGCCTCACTTGCTTTTCACTCTCTGTGGGATGCCAATGGGTTTCAGGAATGGTCCCATTCACTTCTCTTTATCTCTGAGGGAGCTATGGTGAGACTTCTTGTATGAAGTCCTTTGTAAGTAACCTTTCCTCCTAAATAACCTAGGATTGCCTCAAATCCAGAGTTAGTTTTAGAGAGTCACTGAGTGACTTTTATTAATCCATTCATTCTTTGCTGTTTTAAAATTTTCTTGTTAAAATATAAGTTCACTGTACATTGCAACAGTATTTGCTGATTTTCCTTTTATTAAGCTGACACCATAAGGTGTCTCAGTTAACTCCATATATACTCTTTGATTTTTATACTTTTCATTTTTTGAGATGGTTTCATGTAACCCAGGCTGGCCTCAAACTCACTATGTAGCCGAGGATGACCCTGAACTTTTGGCTCTCCTGCCTCTACTCCCGACTGCTGGAATTTCATATGTGTAGCACAGATCCCATTTTGGGGCAGTACTGTGCTAGGCATCCCACCCAGGCATCCTTCATGCCAGGCAAGTAGTGAACCAAATGAGCTCCACTCCAAACCACAACTGTTGTTACTTTAGTATTGCCTTTCTTCTTCCTTTTACTTTCTCAAACCCAAGGAAATAATTATTCATACATATGTTATTGTTTCCTTTTTGTAGCTTGAGGTCAGGGAACCCTGATTGCTCTTCAGGTTGATGAGAGAGGGGGACTTGATCGGGGGAGGGGGAGGGAAATGAGAGGCGGTGGCGGGGAGGAGGCAGAAATCTTTAATAAATAAATATTAAAAAAAGAATAAAAAAGAAAGAAAAATTCAAAGTATTCTACTAATCTACTTTATTACTTTTTATTTTAAATTTTTATTATATTTTTTAATTTCATGTATGTGTGGATATGTGTGGATGTGTGCATGCCATAACCTGCCTGTAGAGGTCAGAGGACAGTTGAGCAAGTCAGTTCTCTTATTCTGCTCTGCAGGTCTAGAGCTGGAATTTGCCTCAGCAGGCACTGTTTCACCAAACCTCAATATTCTTTTTAAAGCAAATATATTTTTGCACCTATACAGGATACTTGAATTTTATTTTATATTGTGGAACTGATATAGAAGGCTTTTAATATTTGACTTGAAGAAATTTTAATTTTTAGTTTGAAACACACTAAATAATTTCTAAGCATATATGTCTATTTTTTTTATTTGTAGCTGGTTTTAGAAGAAGTTTCCGTCTTAGCAGAAAAGATAAAAAAACTAACAAGTCTATGTATGAGTGCAGAAAGAGTGACCAGTACGACACAGCGGACGTGCCCACATATGAGGAAGTGACACCATACCGGCGGCAGGCTCATGAGAAATACAGGCTTGTAGTCCTGGTCGGTAAGTATCTGTTTTGTTTGTAATTTTGAGCAAGTGAGGAAAACAGTAAGAACTTAAATTTGAAGCTTATTGTAGTTGAAGTTTTCAAGCTAAAATTCCCTACGTCTTGAACACCCTGCCTTAGTCTCTGAGGCAAAGTGTTTGGCTTTGTTTCCGTATTGTGATGGCACTGGGAAACATACCTCAAGAGTGCATAGGTGTACTTGTGGAGCCTGTGTTGGAGACGAATTAGCAAATGCACTGTAACACAAGATGTGTCAAGACACTGGATATTTATATATTTGTCAATGAATGTTTGAATGATTGTTAATGAAAATTTGAATATTTGTTAATGATGTTCTGTTCCATTCATTTCGAGGCAGTAACCATGGTGTAAGCTTCCTATAGCAGTAGGTCCATCATAAAGTAAGTTCTAATAGCAGAGTTCCAGGAGGTTTCAAGCATTTACAAGTCTATGGGGGAGCATTGGGTTCAGTCCCCAATACTGTAAAATGTGAGGTTCAGGCAGATCATTTATACCATGGTTAGTTTGACTCGCATTAACCTTCTAGCCAGTGTCTGTCCAGCCTTCACTGTCATAACCCCCCATGACCTTATGTTTGTCTGTCCACCTCCCTTACCTGGTTTTTCTTTTCTTTTTCTTTTTTTTTTTTTTTATTGAGTAAAGGAAAAAAAGTTTGGGCCTCCTCCCATTTCCCTCCCCCTCCTCCCACCCTTCTCCCCCTCCCCCACCTCCCCCCACTCCTCTCCCCGTCCCTCTCCAGTCCAAAGAGCAGTCAGGGTTCCCTGCCCTGTGGAAAAAGTCTAAGGTCCTCCCTCTTCCGTCCATTCCTAGGAAGGTGAACATCCAAACTGGCTAGACTCCCACAAAGCCAGAACATGAAGTAGGATCAAAACCCCGTGCCATTGTCCTTGGCTTCTCATCAGCTCTCATTGTTCGCCATGTTCAGAGAGTCCAGTTTTATCCCATGCTTTTTCAGTCACAGTCCAGCTGGCCTTGGTGAGCTCCCAATAGATCAGCTCCACTGTCTCAGTGGGTGGGTGCACCCCTCGTGGTCCCGACTTCCTTGCTCATGTTCTCCCTCCTTCTGCTCCTCATTGGGACCTTGGGAGCTCAGTCCAATGCTCCAGTGTGGGTCTCTGTCTCTATTCCATCCATCGCCAGATGAAGGTTCTATGGTGATATACAAGATATTCGTCATTATTGCTCTAGGATAGGGTCATTTCAGGTTCCCTATCCTCAGCTGCCCAAGGAAATAACTGGGGACATCGCCTTGGGCTCCTGGGAGCCACTCTAGGTTCAAGTCTCTTGCCAACCCTAAGGTGGCTCCCTTAACTAAGAATTGTGCTTCCGTGCTCCCCTATCCAACCTTCCTTTATCCCAATCATCCTGTTTCCCCAAGTTCCCCCCATCCTCCCCTTCTCACTTTTCTCTCCTCATCTCCCCTTACCCCATCCCACCACATCCCCAAGATCCCAATTTTCTCCCCGGCAATTTTGTCTACTTCCCATAGCCAAGAGGATAACTATATGTTTTTCCATGGGTTCACCTTCTTATTTAGCTTCTTTAGGTTCACCAATTGTAGACTCTGTGACCCTTATTTATGGCTAGAAACCAATTATGAGTGAGTACATCCCATGTTCATCTTTTTGGGTCTGGGTTACCTCACTCAGGATAGTGTTTTCTACTTCCATCCATTTGCATGCAAAATTCGAGAAGTCATTGTTTTTTACCACAGCATAGTACTCTAATGTGTATATATTCCACACTTTCTTCATCCTTTCTTCCATTGAAGGGCATCTAGGTTGTTTCCAGGTTCTGGCTATTACAAATAATACTGCTATGAACATAGTTGAACAAATGCTTTTGTCATATGATAAGGCATCTCTTGGGTATATTCCCAAGAGTGATATTGCTGGGTCCAGGGGTAGGTTGATCCCGAATTTACTGAGAAACTGAAACACTGATTTTCAAAGTGGTTGCACAAGATTGCATTCCCACCAGCAGTGAATGAGGGTACCCCCATCTTTCACAGCCTCTCCAGCAAAGGTTATCATTGGTGTTTTTGATTTTAGTCATTCTGACAGGTGTAAGATGATATCTCAAAGTTGTTTTGATTTGCATCTCCCTGATTGCTAAGGAGGTAGAGCATGACCTTAAGTGTCTTTTGGCCATTTGAACTTCTTCTGTTGAGAATTCTCTGTTCAGTTCAGTGCCCCATTTTTTAATTGGGTTAATTAGTGTTTTAAAGTCTAGTTTCTTGAGTTCTCTATATATTTTGGAGATCAGACCTTTGTCTGTTGCAGGGTTGGTGAAGATCTTCTCCCAGTCAGTAGGTTGCCTTTTTGTCTTGGTGACAGTGTTCTTCACTTTACAGAAGCTTCTCAGTTTTAGTAGGTCCTATTTATTCAATGTTGCCCTTAATGTCTGTGCTGCTGGGGTTATACATAGGAAGCAATCTCCTGTGCCCATCTGTTGTAGGGTACTTTCCACTTTCTCTTCTATCAGGTTCAGTGTGTTCTGACTGATATTGAGGTCTTTAATTCATTTGGACTTGAGTTTTGTGCATGGTGATAGATATGGGTCTATTTTCATTCTTCTACAGGTTGACATCCAGTTGTGCCAACACCATTTGTTGAAGATGCTTTCTTTCTTCCAGTGTATACTTTTAGCTCCTTTATCGAAAATGAAGTAATGATAGGTTTGTGGGTTAAAATTCGGGTCTTCTATATGATTCCATTGGTCGACTTCTCTGTTTTTATGCCAGTACCACACTGTTTTCATTACTGTAGCTCTGTAATAGAGTTTGAAGTCAGGGATGGTAATGCCTCCAGAAAATCCTTTATTGTATAGGATTGTTTTGGCTATCCTGGGTTTTTTGTTTTTCCATATAAAGTTGATTATTGTCCTCTCAAGATCTGTGAAGAATTTTGATGGGACCTTGATGGAGATTGCATTGAATCTATAAATTGCCTTTGGTAGAATTGCCATTTTTACTATGTTGATCCTCCCAATCCAAGAGCAAGGGAGGTCCTTCCATTTTCTGGTATCCTCTTCAATTTCTTTCTTCAATGCCTTAAAGTTCTTGTCAAATAGATCTTTCACTTCCTTGGTTAGATTTACCCCAAGATATTTTATGCTGTTTGTGGCTATCGTGAAAGGGGAAGCTTCTCTGATTTCCCTCTCTGCTTCCATATCCTTTGTGTATAAGAGGGCGACTGATTTTTTGGAGTTGATCTTGTATCCTGCCACATTATTAAAGGTGTTTATCAGATGTAAAAGTTCTTTGGTGGAGTTTTGGGGGTCGCTTATGTACACTATCATATCATCTGCAAATAACGAAAGTTTAACTTCTTCCTTTCCAATTCGAATCCCCTTGATCCCATTATGTTGTCTTATTGCTATTGCTAGAACTTCAAGCACTATATTGAAGAGGTATGGCAAGAGTGGACATCCTTGTCGTGTTCCGGAGTTTAGTGGGATGGCTTTGAGTTTCTCTCTGTTTAATTTGATGTTAGCTGTCGGCTTGCTGTATATAGCTTTTATTATATTTAGGTATGACCCTTGTATCCCTAATCTCTCCAATACTTTTATTATAAAACTATGTTGAATTTTGTCAAATGCTTTTTCAGCATCTAATGAAATGATCATATGTTTTTTTCTTTCAGTTTATTTATATGATAGATTACATTGATAGATTTTCGTATGTTGAACCAGCCCTGCATCTCTGGGATGAAGCCTACTTGATCATAATGGATAATTTTTCTAATGTGTTCTTGGATTCTGTTTGCCAGTATGTTGTTGAGGATTTTTGTGTCGATATTCATGAGTGAGATTGGCCTGTAATTCTCTTTCCTGGTTGAGTCTTTGTGTGGTTTTGGTATCAGAGTAACTGTAGCTTCATAAAAGGAATTTGGCAATGACTCTTCTGTTTCTATATTGTGAAGTTCTGGTAGAATTCCGCATTGAAACTATCTGGTCCTGGGCTTTTTTTGGTAGGGAGGTTTTTGATAACAGCTTCTAATTCTTCACGACTAACAGGTCTATTTAGATTGTTCACCTGGTCCTGGTTTAACTTTGGTATATGGTATTTATCTAAAAAAGTGTCCATTTCTTTTAAATTTTCCAGTTTTGTGGCATACAGGCTTTTGTAGTAAGATCTAATGATTCTCTGAATTTCCTCTGTGTCTGTGGTTATGTCCCCCTTTTCATTTCTGATCTTATTAATTTGCATATTCTCTCTCTGCCGTTTGATTAGTTTGGATAGGGGTTTATCAATCTTGTTGATTTTTTTCCAGGAACCAGGTTTTTGTTTCATTGAATCTTTGAATTGTTTTCTGTGTTTCCATTTTGTTGATTTCTACCCTCAGTTTGATTATTTCCAGTCTTCTACTCCTCCTAGGTGAGTCTGATTCTTTTTTTTCTAAAGCTTTCAGGTTTGCTGTTAAGTCTCCAATATGTGCTTTCTCTGTTTTCTTTAAGTGGGCACTTAGTGCGATGAACTTTCCTCTTAGGACTGCTTTCATAGTGTCCCATATGTTTGAGTATGTTGCTTCTTTATTTTCATTGAATTCCAGGAAGACTTTAATTCCTTTCTTTATTTCTTCCTTAATCGAGGTATGGTTCAGTAGTTGACTGTTCAGTTTCCATGAGTTTGTAGGCTTTCTGCGGGTAGCATTGTTGTTGAATTCTAACTTTAATCCATGGTGATCTGATAAGACACAGGAGGTTTCTAATATTTTTTTGTAACTGTGGAAGTTTGCTTTGTTACCGAGTATGTGGTCAATTTTCGAGAAGGTTCCATGAGCTGCAGAGAAGAAGGTACATTCTTTCCTATTTGGGTGGAATATTCTATAGATGTCTGTTAAGTTCAATTGATCTATTACCTCCATTAATTCTCTAATTTCTCTGTTAGGTTTCTGTCTGATTGACCTGTCCATTGGTGAGAGATGAGTGTTGAAGTCTCCTACTCTTAGTGCGTGCAGTTTGATGGCTGCCT